GCTCTGGTTTCCTTTGTCTTTTGCCTATTAGGAGAGAAGGCTGAGAGTCCTAACTGGTTTGGCACAGGGCCTGCACAGGGTAGATGTCCTCTCATCAACTCTTGTTACTGATGCTATGATGCATTACTTGCCATAGGAAGGTGTAGTGGTCCTGTCATCCAGGGTGGATTTCCAATATTGTGGTTTCTGAGCAAATAGTTTATCAAGATACTCGTTTCTAGCATTCTGCAAGAAAGCTTTCTAAAAAAGCCCCAGAATAAATCTTCTGGTTAAGATTCCTATTTGGAAATAGGGTTTAAATGAAGTAGGGCCTAAGAACATGCTGTGGATGTTAACCCTTTTTATCTCCACAGTTCTGCATCCTCCAGGCTCTGGTTCCCAGGCAGCAGCTGTCAGTGTTCAGACTCCACCTCAGAATGTGCCCAGCCGCTCAGGCCTGCCTCACATGCACTCCCAGCTAGAGCATCGCCCCAGTCAAAGGAGCAGCTCCCCTGTGGGCCTCGCCAAATGGTTTGGCTCAGATGTGCTACAGCAGCCCCTGCCATCCATGCCTGCCAAAGTCATCAGTGTGGATGAATTGGAATACCGACAGTGAGCAGGGCATGCAGGCTCACCTAAGCCTGGACCTGGGGTGGCAGGACTCTTCTTCCTTCTTATCTTGTGTTGGTTTACGGGGTTTTACTTGGGAGCACTCTGTGCGAAGCACTCTTTAGGGGCCCCACGCACATGGTGTGGTCTGCATTATGATGGAAGGATCTTAACCAATCAAGTGGAGCCTTTATTGTCTGAATACAGGATGCAGTGTTGTCAGTCCTGGAAGCAGTCTTTCTTTTTTTGTAAAATATATGTGAATGAAGTGTTGGTGTCCTCACTAAGGTGGCACCTAAGGGTTCTGAGGAAATAAATGTATAGACCCTTATGTACAGACCTATGTATAAACAACTTTTGTATATACATATAGGATAGCTTTTTTGAACTTATACAGCTGTACATAAAAGTAGCTGGTATTAGTTAGGCCTGTGTCAACAGTTTGGATTTTTTTCACTTGTACATTTGGGACTTTTTTGTTGATTAAAGCTGCATATGTTAAGTGTGTGGATGAAGTGAAAGGCACTGTTGTCTTTATTTCTTCCCTGAATCCATTCCTCATTTCTAACCAGTGGAACCTTGAGGGTCAGTATTTTCCTCAAGGGACTTGATCTTAAGTTTTAATTTTTCTTAAAACTCATAGAATTTAAGTCTGTCTCGGTTTAGAAGGATGAAGGTATGGCTGCCTTTCCTGAGCCTTAAAGACACCAATGGATCAGTTTAGGCTGGGGTGACCTTATATGTAGGTTTATGGCTAATAGAAGGGTATCTATGGCTTAATTTCCAAACTGTTTTTTCTACAAGAGTTCTGATTTAATTCATTGAATTCTAAATTCTCCATGTAGAACTTCTTTCAAGATTCTGAGCCAAGCACTTTGGCTTATACCTCTGTAACCCTAGCACTTTGGATCATTTGAGGCCAGGAGTTCAAGACCAGCCTAAGCAATATAGTTAGAACATCAAATCTACAAATAGAAAAATTAGCCAGGTGTGGTATGCACCTGTACTCAGCTACTCAGAAGGCTGAGACAGGATAACTTGAACCCAGGAGTTGGTTATAGTGAGCTACGATGACACCACTGCACTCTAGCCCAAGCAACAAAGCAAGACCACCTACACTCAGCTCCAAAAAAGACTGATGCCTGTGTTAACTGACTTTGTGTTCTGTATCTCATTCCTTAATTCATAATTATTTTATTACACCTTAACTATACACATAGCATTGGAGGAGAAGGAGTCTGTATGTTACTCAGGAATCCCCATTCCTGACTGAAGGTGTTTTAGTCCGTCGTGATGAGGTCGAATTTATTTCTCAAGCTCCTGAAGTTAATCTGCTTGAGTTCTTAAGATACTGGTCCATTTAGTAATAAAGTTATTCTTCAGTTCACAAGTGAAGAGCAAGGTGGCTTTATTGGCTATAAACTTGGAACTGTTCACCCTGCCTTCTACTTTCAGGAATGTACGAAAACAGGCCACCTTTCACTACAACCTGGCTTTATGAATTAAGCATAAGGTCAGTCTCTCCCTGATATTTTCAATCTCATTGGTGATACTTCTCTCACCTCCAGTGCTATTTGCTCTCAGCATGATTCCTCAGCTTCAGAAATACACCCTCTTGCTTTCTAGTGTCCATAGGTTGAAGCCAGAGAGCTGTCCCAATTGTCAATTGTAGAACAGACATGCCTGAATCTGGTTCTACCTTTCCTGTGTATCGTCTTCCACTCCCATGTTGAACCAAAAGTAATAGGTGCAAGGTAAGGATTGGGTAAATCCAGTAAAGGCTTCCTTTTAGGCTAGAAGCTGGTGGGGACATGAACAAACAGAGGCACTAAGCAAAAGGGCAAAGCCATTAGGTGGTGATTGACGAGATGGAACTAGGAAATAAGGGAGTGTTGCTAGGAGTACCAACAGAGGGTAGCCAGACAGGTTTTAGCAGAACTACTTTGGTCACCATGATGGACTGGAGGAAGAGGGTGGGGTGGGGAGTGGAAGCAAAAGAGGGCATAAATCAAGTGTAGCCACACTTTTCAGAAGATAGCTACTGACTATAGTACAAGTCACATTTTCATTCACACTGACCTACCAATGCCTGGCTACTCAACTACTTCCTTTGGGAGTATTGTTCTTTCCTCTCCTCCTACCTGAGCTCCCCTCCTTAAAAGCAGATATTTCATGATCTCTGTGGCTCTTAGCTGTTTTACTTCCAGAATGCCTTATACATCCTTAGGTTCTCTTAACTTTTACTTTGCAAATCCTTCTAGCCCCAACTGCTCTACGCTTATCTTGTGTGTGCTGGACATCCCAGAGTCCCAAACATCCCTTCTTCCTGGCCAAGACATCTCTGTCTCTACCCTCTCGTTCTATTATCAGCCCCTTAGCGCCTGGAAGACATATTAACCTCCTCTTTTGCCTCCACTCCCCACCTCAGAATTCCTAACATCAAACTGTGCCCCTCTCAAAACTGCCAAGTCTAAGACCAAAGGAGAAAGAAGGGAAGGTAGGGTACAGTCTACTCAAGGACCAAGGCCCTACACTTCAAGCAGAGGGGAGGGTGCTGAATGATGGACTCAAGGCCTATTCATAGCACAAACTGAGGCCTTGGATGAACTGGATTTCAGCAACCTGTCCCCAGCATCCTGGCAATGCTAAAAGCTGTGAATTTTGGCATGAATAGTCCCCCCAAATTTACTATGTCCTGGCTAGAGAGTAAAACATGCCGGAAATCACATAGCTCCCTTTGCACCTGTCAAGTTGGGACAGGCTCTAGACATCATGGTCTCTACTATGAATGCACCAGATAGCAAAGTCTGTGTTCTGAAAAGAGATTTAGGATACCAGGCCTGAGGAGCTTATTCCTGGGTCTGGGGACAGTGCTAAGCCCAAGCTTTAGGAAGACTATCAAAGAGAAACAACTGTCAATGAGAGCAGCAGGAAGAATAAGCACTGGACAAAAGCTGAACATGTGAATAATCCCCACATCCTTGCTAAAAGCTCTAGCTGGCCTCATTTGAAGATAATCAAATTCTGTCTTACTGCAAACATACTTTTCTTTCTCAGGAACTATCCTTTATCTCTATAGTTCATACTAAAATAATCTTTGATTTCTTTAAAAGAGCAAGTCAGTTACCTAGTTTAGATTTCTCCTATGCACATACGTGTCACATCCTCCCTCTGCCTATATTCTTGCTAGCCCATCACACCAAGAATTTTTTTTTTTTTTTGAGCCAGAGTCACTATTAGTGTCTCCCTCAGAGTGCTGTGGTGTCACAGCTCAGAACAACCTCAAACTCTTGGGCTTAAGCGATTCTCTTGCCTCAGCCTCCCAAGTAACAGGGACTACCGGCACCCGCCACAATGCCTGGCTATTTTTTTGTTGTTGTAAGTTGTCTTTGATTAGCAGGCCTGGGCTGGGTTTGAACCCGTCAGCCCCCGTGTATGTGGCTGGCACCATAACCACAGGCACTGAGCCACATACCAAGATTTTTGACAATTATTCTCACAGAATTAGAGCAAGTTTCTTAAATTTCCTTATTTCCAGCCATCAAAACCTAATCATGTCCTTAGTATTTTCTCAAGTAGTCCTGACACCAACCTCCTCCTAACCTAACCTCCCACCTCCATAAGTATACATATATGTATACACAGCCCTGCTTTGATCACACTGGTTGCCTCACATACAATGCTCTGCTTTCCACCCAAGTTATGTGAAGGGGGTACCTGAGGCAGTTCACCTAGGACTGCCAGGAGGGTGTGCGTGGTTCAAGCAGAAGCAGAAAGGCTAGGATATAGGAAAGGAGATACTTGGTGGCCCAGCATGGTTCAGCTCAACATTCAGCCCAACAATGATGATACACAGCTGTGGTCTGACTAGGCCAGAAAGGAACCCACTAAAGTAAAGGGCCTGTAACAAAAAGCCAGAGCAATTTACTAGTACCATCTCCCTTAATACTAACAATCACCACCCCAGAAAGTAAGCACTATTATAATATCCTCACATTACAAGAGGAAACTGAGGCTCATAGAAAGGCTGGGTAACTTGTTTAGGGTTACAAACTAATTAGAGGGTAAACTGCAATTCAAACTCCCTCTGCCTACTTTCCTAAACTGCCACACTACACTGTCTCCCAAATGGGCTAGCCTTCCAGAGAATAATCAGTTAACTTGTTGATACAATGAGTCCTTCCTCTCTTCCTCTTTATCAGGTGGGGAAAAACTATTTGAAAGGACTGAAGGCTACATCCAGCTGGAAGGGTTTCCCATATCTAAGTATCACACATCACATTTTTATCCATTTCACACTCAAGACCACACTCCCAAGTACCCCTTTCTGCAGCTGTATCACTGTATATCCTTGACTCATTCAGCCCATACCAAAACAAATTCTGACATTGACACATGAACTGCACACAGCCAGCTGGCCTCCCAGGTCTTTTATGCAGTTCGACATACAAAGTGACACCATGGTAAGACAAGTCAAGTTCCAGTTTGGATGCCTCCAACTCCCTCCCCAGAATCCTGATCCAGTGATGCCAAACCCAGGAGGAGTTGAGAGTAGGGTGGTTGGCCATGGGAAAAGTTGCTGTGGTTGGCCCAGAAGATGGGAAAAAGGGAATGTATCATTTCTTCACAATCTGAATGACATCCTCGTCCTCCAAGGTATGATCTTTACCCACTTTTTGAGGATTATGTTTCACAGACAGACCCCAGACCAGAGCACTGTATGGAAGGGAAAAAAGAATAGTCAGTGTAAAGAATAACCTAGCTTCTTCCCTATTTGCCTGGGTGTCACCCTTATATTCAAATTTAGAATCTATCTCTTCTTTTATTTATTTATTTTCCTTGAGACAGAGTTTCACTGTGTCGCTCTGAGTAGAGTGCCACAGCATCACAGCTCACAGCAACCTCAAATTCTTGGGCTTAAGCGATTCTCTTGTCTCAGCCTCCCAAGTAGCTGGAACTACAGGTGCCTGTCACAGCTAAACAACAATAGCAACTGCACAATGTTTGTTGCAATTGCCATTGTTGTTTAGCTGGCCCAGGCTGGATTCAAACCCATCAGCCTGGGTGTATGTGGCCTGCGGCCTATCCACTGAGCTACAGGGGCCACCAGAATCATTTCTCTTAAGAGCCACAAACCTGAAATAGCCAAAAGCCCCTGCTCCACATCAAGAACCACACTCAAAGCCCAGAGGTTTATCTTCACCAGCAACATAGCACACTAAGGCCTTGACTAGGTGGCAAAGACTCTTGAAAGTGCATGGTTCATCTTCCAGAGTCAGTTTAGAAAAGTCCCTAAACAAATGAGTAATATAGGGAGACTAATTTAAAATTAAAAGTATGAATTTATTAAAAGGAAATACCCTGAAAAATTCAGGTTGAAGTTTGATTCATAGAGCTATACAAAGTTAGTTAAAGACTGTTAAAGAATACCTGTTTTTGTTGGGTCTACTGAAACTAGTGAGTACGGATAAGAAATTAGGGCTGACTTCCCTCTGTATCAAGAAAGTGTAATTGGGTCCGGGCATGGTGGTTCACACCTGTTATCCCAGCATTCTGGGAGGCTAAGGCAGGCAGATCACCTGAGCTCACAAGTTCGAGACCAGCCTGAGCTAAAGCGAAACCTCATCTCTAAAAATAGCCAGATATTGTGGCGGGTGCCTGAAGTCTCAGCTACTTGGAAGGCTGAGGCAAGAGAATTGCTTAAGCCCAGAAGTCTGAAGTTGCTCTGAGCTATGACCACAGCACTCTACTGGGGTTGAGAAAGTGAGACTATCAAAAAAAAAAAATTGTAATTGATATGTCCTCTTGATTCACTGGAACATATAAAGGTGGTTTTGTAGCCAGTGGGCCTCGAAAATTAAGAATATGTTGTGTAGGCTCAGCGCCTGTGGCTCAAACAGCCAAGGCGCCAGCCACATACACCTGAGCTGGTGGGTTCGAATCCAGCCTGGGCCCACCAAACAACAATGATAGCTGCAACAAAAAATAGCCAGGCATTGTGGTGGGCACCTATAGTCCCAGCTACCTGGGAGGCGGAGGCAGGAGAATTGCTTGAGCCCAGGAGTTCTAGGTTGCTGTGAGCTGTGATGCCACAGTACTCTACCTAGGGAGATAGCTTGAGGCTCTGTCTTAAAAAAAAAAAAAAAAAGAATAGGTGTGCTAATAATAAAAACTGGTGAACAAGGCCAAGCAGCAGTGGCTCGTGCCTAGCTAGCACTCTGGGAGGCTGCGGCAGGAGGATCCCCTTGAGCTCAAGAGTTTGAGATCAGCCTCAGAAAGAGCAAAACCCCATCTCTATAAACAATAGAAAAATTAGCCAAGGAAGGTGGCACACACATCACATTTTTATCCATTTCACACATGATGACATAAATTACATGACATAAATGTAGTCCCAGCTAGGTGGGAGGCTAAGGAAGGGGAATCGCGTGAGCCTGAGAGTTTGAGATTATAGTGAGCTACGGTAACCCCACTGCCCTCTAACCTGGGGGACAGAGCAAGGCTCTATCCAAAAAAAAAGTGGTCATATTGTTATTATACTATCATTGCACTACAACCTCTTTACAATCTATATTACAAAAAGGAATATATAAATATCAGAAACAGATATAACAATTAGTAAAACAAATTTTTTCAAATGTATTAACAAGTAAATATATTTGGATACAAGGTGACCATTTTACTCACTAGCTTAAACTAGAAAACTGTGGCTCGGCACCTGTGACTCAAGTGGCTAAGGCGCCAGCCACATACACTTGGGGTGGCAGGTTCAAATCCAGCCTGGGCCCACCAAACAACAAATGATGGCTGCAACCAAAAAAGAGACAGGAATTGTGGCTGGCACCTGTCGTCCCAGCTACTTGGGAGGCGGAGGCAGGAGACTCGCTTGAACCCAGGAGTTGGAGGTTGCTATGAGCTGTGATGCCCAGCACTCTACCCAGGGGGACAGCTTGAGGCTCTGTCTCAAAAAAAAAGAAAAAAAACTAGAAAACTGTTTTTAGCAGTCATACTCAGTGCCTCAGTATAGTCAAGCCTTCTACTTTGGTGATGACAATATAAATGGTTCAAGCCCTTTTGGAAAGTAAGGCAGCAAAATCTATCAAAACCCTTACGGATAATTGATCCTACTTCTAGAGGGCGATGCCTGTGGCTCAGTGAGTAGGGCGCTGGCCCCATATACAGAGGATGGAGTGTTCAAACCCAGCTCCAGCCAAACTGCAACAAAAAAACTAGCCAGGTATTGTGGCAGGCACCCATAGTCCCAGCTACCTGGGAAGCTGAGGCAAGAGAATCACCTAAGCCCAAGAGCTGGAGGTTCCTGTGAGCTGTGATGCCATGGCACTCTACCGAGGGTGACAAAGTAAAACTCTGTCTCAAAAAAAGAAAAAAATGGCTCAGCGCCTGTGGCTCAAGTGGCTAAGGTGCCAGCCACATACACCTAAGGCAGCGGGTTCGAATCCAGCCCGAGCCTGCCAAATAACAATGATGGCTGCAACCAAAAAATAGCTGGGTGTTGCGCGGGTACCTGTGGTCCCAGCTACTTGGGAGGCGGAGGCAGGAGACTCGCTTGAGCCTAGGAGTTGGAGGTTGCTGTGAGCTGTGATGCCACAGCACTCTACCCAGGGGGACAGCTTGAGGCTCTGCCTCAAAAAAAAAAAAAAAAAAAAAAACCCAGCTATTTCTGTAATAATTAAAGAAAATGAAAACATAATAGGATAGTGACCAAATAAAATTCTGTTTGATTGGACATGTCTTTTCTCTAAAATATTTTACTCCCCTCTCTTTTAATTCCCTGGTAAACTTACAGTTCTAGAGACTTTTTTTTTTTTGGCCAGGGCTGGGTTTGAACCCACCAACTCCAGCATATGGGGCTGGCGCCCTACCCTTGTGAGCCACAGGTGCTGCCCCTAGAGACTTTTCTACCCACAGTGTTCTATCACCATGGAATGCAGGAGCCATATATGTTAATAAAAATCTATGAATTCTGCTAAAGGACAATGCCTAACTTTTTCCAAGAGTCATCTTTAGTTTAATTAATAGCCAAAGTATAATTCTCTTGAGTGTAGTGGAAAATTAGCACCTATCCATAGAATATAGTTATTTTAGATAAAAGAATGTGGAGAGCAATTCTGGGTGCAGTGGCTCATGCCTGTAATCCCAGCACCTTGGGAGGCCAAGGTGAGAGGATTACTTGAAGCCAGGAGTACTAGACCAGCCTGGCAACATACCAAGACCTTGTCTACAAAAAGTAAAAAAAAAATTAGCCAGGTGTGGTGGCTTGTCCCTGTAGTCCCAGCTACTTAGGAGGCTGAGAGAGAAGGACTGCTTGAGCCCAAGAGTTTGGGGTTACTGTGAGTTATGATGCCACAACACTCTACCCAAGGCAAGAGTCTCAGAGTGAGACTCTGTCTCAAAAAAAATAACAAAAAAAATAAAAATAAGTAAACAGGTAACAAGTAATAACATATACATATCTCATTGCTGGAGAAAAGTTAAAAAAAAAAAAAAAGAGGAAAGGCTAGAAAGAATCCTATGGAATCAGAGGTAAAGGTATAGTCTCATGGTTTTCAAGAAAGATGGATGAATAGGATGGATTAGATACAGAAATATAACATATATGTAGGCATGGTTTGCATCCATATATGTATTTCCTATCTATCTGCTGAGAGGATCTGTAAGCAATAACCTACTAAAAAATGAATAAATAAGCCCCTACCTCTTGAAAACCAAAGATCCTTGGAGACATGACTAAGCAAAACCAATGTCAACCAGGAGGTGGAGGGAGGGGGATTGGAGGGATCACTTCTGAGATTTATCTTACAAGGGTACAAGTGAATCTTTCTAAGAGCAGAATGTGAACGTTTTAAAATAATAACTAAGAAAATGACACGAAGGCTATGTTAACCAGTTTGATGGAAGTGTTTCGGATTGTGTGTGAAAACCCCACACTGTACTCCAGAAGTACATTAAAGTACATAGTTACCATTCAATTAAAAAAAAAAAAAAGTCAAGCAGGAACATCTAAGTAGTGCGCCTAAGTAAGGAAATGCTAAGAAGAAAAAAAAAAAAAGAACACAGAAGCCAACACAAAGGATTTCCTAATGTCCAAAGTTGGAATAATTTGAGCAAGAAACCTAACATCACAGACAAGCTTCAGAGATACTAAAATCAACAGGCAAAAATTTAAAGAGAAACAGGATTTGCATATTCTCAAAGTATCTCCCCCAAGTTATTTATCAAATACAAAGAAAAAAATACTATTTACAGTGGAGAAACCCAGCCAATGCCAACTTAACCAAGTGATCAGAGTAAATACTATTATCAGTTAGATATACTGACATCAGAAATCCTATATATGATGCATTGGGGACATATCTTTTTTTTTTTTTTTTAATTTTTTGAGATAGAGCCTCAAGCTGTTGCCCTGGGTAGAGTGCTGTGACATCTCAGCTTACAGCAACCCCCAACTCCTGGGCTCAAGCGATTCTCTTGCCTCTGCCTCCGAAGTAGCTAGGACTACTCACCCACCAGCTCAGGTGTATGTGGCTGGCACCTTAGCCACTTGAGCCACAGGTGCCGAGCCCTTTTTTTTCTTTTTTTTTTTTTGAGACAGAGCCTCA